TTTTTATTTACTTCTTTGTTCGATTCACTATAAAAAAGCGAGTTTTCTAGTTTTTTTAAACTATAATTTATTTGGAATATTCTTAATGTAGCTACATTATAAGTTAAGAAAAGAAATGTATGATATATTATCTCATTGCAAAGGCTCTTTTAAGACATTTTTAACTCTTAGATTCATGCAGATTTGTAATTTAGCAGGTCTGTTTTTTATCTACGCACAGATCCACTAAGAACTGGTTTTGCAGAAATTGACTCCAAGGTTGTTTACGGAGGAGTAAAATATTTTCATAGCTCCATTTCAGAAATTCAAGCCCAGAACTTTTTAAATCAAAAGACGAGGGTACTAAGAATGTTTTTGAATATAATAGAAAACTTAATGTGATAGGGCTTATACATAAATAACTTTAAAAAACAATGTACACAGTCAGATAACATCGTGAAATTCCCAACGAAGCTGCTCAGTAACGAATAATAGTTTTATAATACCGATGCAATAATTTTTTCACCAGTTAGAAAAAATGGTGAATTAAAATTAGTAATTTGTACAATTGGTAAACACATATTTATAACGAAATACTTTAAAAAAACATATAAAACTGGGGCACTATTTACTCTGACTGCAAACTAGAAATTTATTAAAGTAGTATTATAACACAAAAAGGGAGAGACAAAACAGTGTTAAAGCCTTATTGAAGAATGTCAATAGTGCAAGCACTGAGTTATAGTGCATTTTACACAAATATAGCACAAATGGATATTCTATGGTTAAATAAAAACTAATTTGTTTTATTTTTATTTAAATCATACAATTCAAAATTTATTTTATCACATAAAAACATACTGGAAACAATAAGAAAAACCTATTTAAAAAAGTATTACTAATTGTTCATAATAAGAAATCATGAAGTCATACTAACAAAAGAATATATTTTTAATTACATAACATAAGACATGAGTCTGCTCAGTGGCTTAGAGGTAGCGTACCTACCACTTAAGACAAAGGTTGAGGGTTAAATCCTGGCTGGAGTGGATTAATCTCTTGTGTGCGAATATCATAAGCATTCATGTCATATGATTATGTGACAAGTATAAAATTCCTTGAGTATCAATTTGGCTCTGGTATTCTCGTTAAAATTAAATAACACCAATATTTAGCATTTGACGAGAGTTTGGATTGAAATTAATTTAAGTGTCAAAATTTTGTAGCAAGAGCCGCCACTAGATGGTGCTACCACCGAAATGACTCTTGGGGACTTGCCCTGTCTGCAAAAGCTTGTGTGCCAAAATGCAGCCCCATTTGAAAAAGAAAAAAATATTATGAGAAATAAGAATTATGTCTTACCACAGAGTTTCTCTTTTAAATACATAAACAAAACGCATTTTTTCTCTTACATTAATTTTATTTATCTACGTCTATCATTACATCTATTGGCACAGTAATTGTTTATTTCTTCTTTAACTAATGGCTGCACGAGCTGAGCCAGTTTTAAGAAAACTAGTTTAATACATAAGCAGGAATATAATAAATGGCGTCAAACATATAATAAATGAAATAATAAATATATATAACATGTTATACGTCAAAAATAATTATTATTAACTTTTAATGTGAATTTCATAATTTTACATTTAGGCATTTATAATTTACTATTTTGTATTTTATGTTAGTTAACTGTATTTATTTTTTGGATAGTTTTTATAAGTATAAATATTATTTCGTTTTAACTTTTAAAATTATATTTGTTAATCTGGAAACAATTTATTTGTAAATTTTTGTTTTGCCGGATTAGCAACAGTCTGAATATTAGACAACTTACAGCGTTTTTATTGTTTTTATTTTAATCTAACGAATAAAAATCGATTTCTTTTAATTTTTATGCAATTCTAGTATTCTTAAACGATAAATAAACCAACAAATTTTTTCCCGCGTATTCCTTGGAATCTTATCTTACGCATACTTGATTGAGAAACAATAGTTTAAAGGAAATATCTTTCCTAGATCTATCTATATATATATATACTGAAAACAGCGCAAAAACACATTAACAGTAATTTGTCTTAATTTCATTCCAAATTGCCCATTTATGTGCTTAAGTCTTTATCTATGTAAATTTTTGATTGTATCGAAGATGTTAAGCTGTTTGTCCTTCTTTTAAACAACCACTTGTGCTGAAATAGTTAATGATATCGTATCATCCATAATGCCTATTTATTTCGCTTATATAAATAAAATTGTGTTGTTGTTCTATGTTGCTATTGTATTAGGAGTATTTTATGTTGCTATTGTATCAGGAGTATCTCTCTCTCGGGTAGATACCATCTATTCAAAATATCCATCTTAAAAACACTAATTTTATAAACATTTCTATTTTTACTGTCTAGGAGGAAAATAGTCTCATATACACCAAAAAAATATTAAAAAAGTAAATCTTATAACTGTTAGTATAAGGAAAATTCTGGGCTTGTTTAAAAATAGGTTAACAAAGGACAAACAATGCATAAGATGGAATTTTCCCGGATTTCTTTCATAAGTGTGTAGTTATGTAACTCAAAAATTTATTTATGAATATAAACATATTACACTTATAATATATATATATATATATATATATATATATATATATATATATATATATATATATATATATATTTCATTGTGTGTTTAGAAAGTGAAATAGGCGACTATTTCCGTCAGATCTAACACATTCTTATTTTGCTTTATATACAGAAAATGCTGCCGTTGTTCTATGTTGCTGTTGTATTAGGAGTCCTTGTTTTAATAAAATATTCTCTGTGGAGAGATACTTAGAGTCGGCAATTTCCTGGAATTAAACCTGGGATCTTCAATGTCTTAGGAGATTCAGCAAGAGTGTTAATGTATTACTTATCAAGTAATGGTCTTCCATGCTTTATTGTAAGTACCCATTCATTAACTGTTTGTGTCTGATTCATAAAAGTAACTTCTGCTTATACTCCGTCATGCTTTCCCCCCCTGAATGATAGTAAGTGGCATAAAGATAAATAACTCTTATCAGTCGTTATTGTGAAAAAAAGTCATTGGATACAGCAATAACTCGCACTATTTGTCAGCCTACTCTACGGCTCTTGACCCTCCTTTTAGACTCGAGGAGGTTGCTATATAAATAACATGTAATATAAAAAATTTCTTTTTAAGTCAATTCCTACTTAGATCAACAAAGAAATATTTTATTTTAGTTACTTTTTATTAAAGTTACAATTAATATAAATATATATATATATATACTGGTGTGCAAAAATTAAAGACGAAGTCGAAAAATTAGCATATCAGCTGAACGAAGAGGCAGAGCGGACAGAAAGACATATCAGGAGATTAAGTAAGGTGATGTACGGTAGCACATGGCAGATATGCAGGTAGACGTAATGGGGGAGTGTCTGAGTAGTATAAAGCATGTTGTCGGTATAAGATCAGTATTTCTGGCAAAGAGATTGCACGCCGTATAGCAGTTAAAATCACACCGAGTTGCTGCCTCAGCGAGAAATGGCGAATAATCAATCTGTTAGACGACATCTGGATGCTTTTACACGAGGTCGAATCATTGGGAAGTTGGAGGAAGGCCGCAGTGTGACAAGTGTGGCTGCAGAGTTCGGAATTGCTCACAGCATCGTTTCACGACTTTGGAGACAATTTCAAACTACAGGAACAGCTATCCGGGGGTTCAGTAGTGGTCGTCCACGAGGAACCACATCCGCAGATGACCAGTACATTGTATTACATGCCAGAAGAAACAGGCGGCAGACAGCGGGAGAAATCGCTAGACACACGACACAGGCGACTGGACAACCGATATCGCGTTTTACCGTGGCCAGAAGACTGCACGGTAGTGGTCTGTTTGCACGACGCCCTGTACGGTGTGTACCTTTAGCACCTGCCCATCGGAGAAGGCGTTCTCTGTAGTGCCGGGAACACCGGAATTGGAGAGGCAATGAACGGGGACGAGTACTCTTTACAGATGAGATCAGATTCAGTTTGAGTAGCGATTCTCATCCCATACTCATCTGGAGAGAGCGGGGAAGGCGCAATTAGTACTCGAACATCATTGAAAGGGACAGGTATGGAGGTCGAGGTGTTCTCGTTTGGGGAGGCATCATGCTTGGTAGTCGTACAGACCTTCATATCTTCGACGCAGGTTCAGTCAACGGGACCCGTTTTTGTAACGAGATTCTTTTTCCATATGTGCGTCTATTTAGAGGCGCTATGGGTCTGCAGTTCCTTTTCATGGACGACAATGCACCATGTCATCGCACAGTAGCTGCCGAACAGCTCTTAGAGAGTAAGGATATTGAACGTATGGATTGGCCGGCACGATCTCCGGATCTCAATCCCATCGAGCATGTATGGGATTTTCTAGTCAGACGCTTAGCAGCTGGTACCTTACCACCAGTAACGATTCGGGAGCTTCGATTGGCGCTGCAAGACGAATGGGCAGCAATGCCTCAACAACTCATTGACACCCTCATTCTCAGCATGGGCAGACGCTGTGAAACCTGCCTAGCAGTCAGGGGAGATCATATCCCCTACTAAAGACCGGATGTTTCTTGATGGACACCCATCACAGGGAGATTTCGGCCTTCAGTCGCATTGCGCTCCATGCTACTTTTTCAATCAAGCTTCTTTTTATCCCTCTGATTTCTCTTTTAGTAAGTGTTGCTTACATTACACATGTCCTTACGTATTGCGGATCTTACGGTATTAAATGTGTTGATTTGGAAAGCTTTTGTACAAAGTTATATTGAAAAAACCGTCTCGTCCTTAATTTTTGCTCACCAGTGTACATATGACAGAAACACAATATTAGGTGACAAAATAGAAAGCGATTTTAGCTGCAATTTTTCATTTTTCTTTCTATATAGGGTGTTGGACAATTATTTTTGTTTGTTACTATTTATTCAATTATTAAATTTATTTATTATAATAAGATAGTATAGTAAAAAGAAAGAAATAATTCTCAGAAAGTAAGCCGTCCCAGGTGGGATTCGAACCCTCCAGCTTTGGATTTGAAGACCAACGCGCTATTCTTTGCGCTACAGGAACACAACGCGAATGGTTTTCCTATCTATAAATGCTATTGGATTATTATTTTTGTTTGTTAATATGTATTCTTTTTTAATTTAATTAATGAATTAACATTTGGAAAAACTGTATTTACATTGTCATTCCCTACAAGTTTAAAAAATTGTATTTGAAGTTGAATGGATGGATTGAAAGTATTTTGTTAACGATTAAAAATTTAAACAAGATATATATATATATATATATATATATATATATATATATATATATATATATATATATATATATATATATATATATACATAAATATATATTGTGTTGTTGTTGCTGTTTCTAATGCAACCTGTCTGACATAGTCAGATCGAGGCCCACGAAATTCACCGTGACAAGGGGCTAAAAACCTTGGTCTTGATCTTGAGCACCATACATGTGACAGTACGAATTAGCTCGGTGAAATTACCCGAAGTAAACAATAGATGGCGACACCACCCATTTCCACATCTACAATTCAGGCATAAAACTGAGGGGGAGGGAAATATTCCCTAGTCCCCTGCACTCGTGATTCAGCCCACTAGACTTTCGGACCCACTGATTTAATGAGCACATATTGCGAGTGTACTCGGACGGTACTTAGAGGCATCAGGTATTAAAACCAGGCCTTCGAGTCTGGAGTCCAATGCTCTAACCAATAGGCTACCCACAGCCCATATATATAATGTATATATATATATATACATATTGTATACATATATTGTATATATATATATATATATATATATATATATATATACATATATGAACAACTTCTTCCTTCTTTAGCATTTTGAGTTCTAAAACTTTTTAAATTTTATTTTATTATACTATGTATTTTTAGGCATTAATTTATACTAGATTATTTAGATATTATTTGTTTGTATGTCGTTTTCCGGCAAAATGCTTGTAACTATTATTGTAATAATTGCTGTTACAACATATGGTTATTTTTTTTTCAATACTCTCTCTACATTGAGTTAAGTTCTAATTTTTCTTATTCCTCTGTGTATTTGGTATCTACATCTGTTGTGTCTTGTGAACTCCAACTTCTTCCTTCTTTAGCATTGTAAGTTCTAGGACTTTTTCACTTCTTTTTAATATACTATATATTGCATATATATATATATATATATATATATATATATATATATATATATATACTGCTGGCCACCGTAAATGCATCACCAAGAAAGACCATGGATAGCACAACAAAATTTATTTTATAGAAAATATGTTAAGGAAGTATAAAATGATTAAATTTATAGAATCCTGTGATGTGTGGTTCCGGGCAGAATCAGTAGCCACAGTAGCCACCATTGTTGGACATCACCGCTGCCACACGCCTCGGCATTGATTTAACAAGTGTTTGGATGAGTTCTTGGGGTACAGCAGACCAAGCAGCTTCCACATGTTACCAAAGAGGATCTGGTGTGGCAGCGGGGGGTGTAATCTGGGTAAATCGATGAGCAAACATGGACCACATGTGTTCTATCAGCGAAAGATCGGAGAGTGAGCCAGCCAGGGAAGCAATTCAATCTGGTGATTGATGAAGAACCTTTGGACAATACTTGCCACGTGTGGTCGTGCATTATGATTTTGTAACATGGCTGTGGCCAAGCCCTGAACGTAAGGACGGACAACTGGTTCCAACACCTCGGAGATGTAGCGCTGGCTGCTTTAAGTACCGGCAATGCGTACTAGAGGAGTGCAAGAGTGATATTCAATACCGCCCCATACCATAATTCCCGGTGAAGGACCAGTGTCGCGGTGCATAACGCAGCTGTTCAACATTATCTCTCCACGGTATCTCCAGACTCGAATCCGACCAACGTGAAGTTGCAGACAGATGCGTGACTCGACAGTAAAGACAACTTCATTCCATTCTGCCACCCATATCCTTCTTTCATCGCCTCATTGGCGGTGGAGACGTTTGTGGTTCTGCGTCAAGGGTAGACCAAGCAATGGGAAATCTTGCGAACAGACCAATATGCTGTAAACGGCGTCGAATGGTACGCGCAGACAGTGAATGATGCGTTACAGACTCAATGTGACGTGCTATGGTTCGTGATGTGACTGAGCGATCTGTCACTGCCATGCACACAATTTACCTGTCCTCACGTGAAGTGGTGCACTTAGGTGGATGTAATCGACCACGTCGATCCGTCGTACCCTCCTGCATCCAACGGTCACATATCCGCATTACAGTTGTCTGGTTTCGTCCAACACGACTACTGATATACCTGAAAGATAATCCACAATCTCGGTAGGCCAATATCCTTCGTCTTTCGAACTCGGATACTTGATCAAAAGCTGATCGCTGTTTTCTACGAGACATATCTGATCATTTTTTGAAAAAACCGCAAGAAAAACACAATTGCCGAACTTGAAATCGTCGAAATCTTCAAGCCTTAAATCAGTGATTCTCGACCTTTTTTTTGTTGCGGCACATATTTAACTATTTTAAAATTTGTCGGCACACAAAAATAATATAAAAATTATTTACTTACTACAACACACTGCATAAATAGTTTATGACAAAATTTTTAAATATATACGAAATAAAAAAAAACTAATATATACTACAATAATAACTAAACGTTTATTAAGGGATTAATTACAAGCTAATAATAAAAATATTTTTAATGCGAAATTTGAGCTTGATGTTTTTTGATAATTTCATTTATATTTGGTCGTAAAAATGACAATGCTACTCTCATATCGTCTTCTACATTTAACAATCTTGATCTTTTTTTAGTTTTAATGTTGGCTAATGCTGAAAATCCGAATTCACACAAATAAGATGTGGAAAATTGTAATAATATGTTTAAAGCTTTTTTGGCTATCATTGGATAATCGCACCTGATGTTAATCCAAAATGAATTAATTGATTCTTCTACAGAAGTATACGTTATAAGAAATGGATTAAGAACCCAATCAAATTTCTTAATATCTAATTTTGGAAAATAATGAATAATTCTCTCCTCTAATGTTGTCAAATGATCAACAACAATTAATTTAATAGTTTTATAACTGTCTTTAGGGACTGACTCAAACTTTTCTAAATTGCCTTCCTGAGCTTTATTTTTCCATAAAGTTATTTGTTTTTTGAATCCCACCAGCTTATCGGTTGAGTTTAAGATATTTTCATTATGCCCTTGCATACTTGAATTGATGTTGTTAAAAATAACAAAAATGTCTGATAAGTAAGCCAGTTTAGTACACCATATTTTATCTTCCAACAAATGAACAAATTTTTATTTTGATCAAAAAATATTTTCATTTCGTCTTTTAATTTCAGCACACGAGATATAACTTTTCCTCTGGACAACCATCTTACTTCTGTATGGAGTAACAAGGATTCATACTTGGCTTCCATAGCTTGGCATAATTTACTAAATAGTCTACTTTTTAATGGTCTTGATTTGATATAATTAACCATATTTTAACACATTGTTCCAGAACTATTTTCAAATGTGATGGCAAAAATTTGTAACAAGTGCTTCTCGATGCAAAAAACAATGGGTAACTAATATATCCTCATTCAGTTCTTTAACATGTGCTACAAATCCTTTTAGATGTCCAGTCATAGCTGGAGCACCATCTGTGCAAATGCCAATATATGACTTCTAAGAAACTTTAATTTCTTCTAAATATGAACTAATTACTTGAAAAATATGTTTACCAGTTGTAAAATCAGGTAACTCCCGACAACATAAAAATTGATTAATTATATCATTTTCGTGAATAAATCTAACGAATGCAATTAATTGAGCATTTCCTGTAATATCTGTTGTTTCGTCGACTTGTAGAGCAAAATTCGAATTTGCAAGAGTTTTTGCAGTATTTTGCTCAATATTTTCTGACATATCTTTAATTCTGCGATGGATTGTATCATTTGAAAGTGGTATTTTGCAAATATCAATATCAGCTGATCCACCGATCATTGTTTTTATAATTTTGCGACAAGCAGGTAATATAATTTCTTCAGCCAAATTGTGAGGTTTTAAGTTAACAGCAATCAATTCAGCTATTTCGTAAGAAGCTACTTGAGCCTTTTCAGAGACACATACTTGTTTTTCAAAAACTTTTACTTAATTAGTTTTTGATGATAAAGACCTTTCAAAGTAGCTTTTATCTTTTGTTGAAAGCGAAGGATGATTAGTCACCAAGTGACGTTGGAGTTTGCTAGGAACCATAGCACTATTTGATAATTTAAAACCACATATCACACACTCGGGAAGAACTATGTCATTTTCCATTGTAGACGTAAATCCAAATTTCAAAAAATCATCATTATATTTCCGATGGACAACGTGTTTTTTTGAGCAAGAAGTATTTTTACTTGTGGCGGGGGTTGGCTCATTAACTTGGTCCCTAACGTTATCATTCTCAATATTATCATCATTAAACTTTCTTCTTTTTAACGATTTTCAGAAGGATCTGCAAATAAATTAATGCAAATAAATTAATGCAAAATATTACTACATGCAAATACATTAAAATTAAACCGAATCACATACATTTACCAATTTTAACGAAAGAAAAGGTGCAGTAACTACTATGCAACACCTTGTGAATCCCAACTATCACTAAAACAACACGTTTTGTACGCAGAAGTGGCAAGTGTGCGCCGACTTGAGACATATTCCTATTGCTATGCACGCAGCTTCATCATAATTTGGCACTAAGAAAAAACGAGTTGCAAAGCAAATAATAAAAATAATTTATTTTTTTGTGGATTTAAATATATATTCATGTTAAAAATATTTTTCTTTTTAAATGATATAATTTAATAATATTAACATTATTATATATTTGCAAAATTTGGCGGCACACTTTTGAAATATGGCGGCACACAAAAGTGCCGCGGCACAGTGGTTGAGAATCACTGCCTTAAATAGAACTTTGATATGGCGCCACGGACACACGTGATGTGTGTCTGCGCTGAAATTCTAATCATTTAAATATTTCACCTCCGCTAATGCATG